TAAAAGCAGTCGAACCTCCATTAAACATGATATTTTGAAAATACAATTTGCTCCGAAATGAACAAGCCAATGTGAAATAATCACACAAGAAAAAAATACTAAGCACATTGTGAAAAGCAGACTCTACTTCAGGTACATGTTTTAATGTCACTATTGGATAAATATAAGGCTTCATAGTTAATGTCGATACTCGGTATTAAAATAACTATTTGGAACGTTACCATTCTATTTTTAGTTCGTAGTCAATTGTGTTTATTAAAATGTAATTTGTGATTAATTTTACTAATTAACTTAATATTATTCGAGGCAATAACCGAAATAGGTGATGTTTTCGTACTAATAGTAAATTGGAGGATTTCTAGTTCGAAGCACAAGTTCACAAACGTATGTCAGAAATGTATTGTAGAGCAGGAATAGCCATTGCATTAATGTCGTTCACTAACCTGTTTTCGTATTATATTAAAATGATGGCATCGTTTCCACTTATAAGGTCACTTACTGTTACTGTTTGACCACCTGCATAATATTACATTCTTCTATTAGATTACATTCTTTGCAAGATGCACGGCATTACTGAAATACAATGGAGATTAAATAAAATTTTTAAAATGTATATATTTAAAATAGTATTATAACAATTATCAAGTACAGTTAAACGCTGAGATTAAACAGTTAAAATGATCAATGAATTTTCCTAAATTTGACCTTAAGAGTGCAATCTTTTACAGGTTATGGTATTAAGGTACGTACGTGAGAGTATTAATAAAAATGTCTAATGACATCATATAAGTTGTTTTAGAAACATTAATTATATCTTTGCTTTGTCTGTCAACAAGGATTAAAAAGAATCAAAATTACAACAAAGGTAACATCTGTTTTACGTTTACCTATATTATACTTCTTGAATGACATGTAAACTTCAAACATGAAAGATTCGCAATTACACATAAATATTTTCATTATATTTGTCTACTCTAACCTAACCTAACCTAAATTTAGATTAAATTACATTAGGTTGGTCGAAGACTGTGTTTCTCATCGAAGGCGATATCGCCCGAGCGTTTTTCCACATTGGAGTGATTAGTAAAAATGTTCATTTTGCGAAAGAAAAACAATTTTTCCGGCTATATAGTAAAACATTACAGGAGTTTCAAGTGGACTGGTCCGATTTGTTCCGTAATAGCAGTGAAGAAATCGAGCCGGAGGGGCTTAAGTGTGCAGTGAAGCGTGCTGCAGGTTGACATTACTAATCGCTCATCACTGCGTGCGTAGCGTCAGCCGTTTTTATTTTAAAATCGTAAAATTGTAGCCACTGATTATCAGAATTATGATTTTATCTGTTATTTTCATACTTTTCTTTCTTTATAACGTTTTATTTACTTTATTTTCGTGTAATTAGAGACGATACAGCTTTAAAATAAACAGCTCAGGTCTCACTTGCCAATAGATTATCTTAACTTTCACCCATTGTTGTCGGTGAAATACACACCAACAGAGAGGAACAGCCCATGTTTCATAGTCCAGTGTTTAGTATTTATTGCTTTTGCGGTAGTCCGAGTGGAGCAGGAGGAGTCAGTTCATTTCTATAATAAACCGCTATGTGTTTTATTACCGTTTAAACAACTGCTCTCCACTGTTATTTTTGGTAACTAGAGACGGGTGAGATTTTCTGTCAAGGTGGGTTAAAGTTTATTACATTTGTAACAGAGTGTCATGTGAGCTGCCACCCACTCCCCACCGTTAACATCAACAACGCGCGAAGTGTCATGTTACTCTGTAAACAAACACTCCCTTTCTTGTCTGAAGTGGGTCAGTTGTCAAGGTTACTGTTTAATTGTATTGAACAGAATGTTGTCCTTAATATTTAAGAATCAGTTTTATCAGAACTGTTTACTTTTAACGCTTTTCTTATAACTTATTTTCACTTCGGTTATAAAATTGTTTTTATCGTGTTTTAAATTGATTTGTTATAAATTATACAGTACTTGTATAAAGTTTATGAAGTAAAATTGCAATGAACATTTCGTTCTTTCAAGAAATGTTTATTGATTATACGCAGTTCATGTTTTCAAAAATGTTTTTATATCTCTTTTTCATCATTATATGTATATATTAATAAAATATATTCACATTTTATAAACACATTTTTTGTATTTAATTATGTTTTCATTATATCGAATAGATATTCATATTATATTCGAACCAACCTTTTATATTTTATAAATGTTGATGTCATTCGTTTAATTCTATACTACTTATGTAATAACTATTTTTATATCATTTATTTTATTTTCCTTTTATATGTTTTTAATTACTCCCCATATTCCAAATGATAAATTCAGAAATTAAATTATAACTACTATTATCTTGACAACGTTTAAAGATAGAATTTTGCCTAGGTTATCTCTGAAATATGTCATTGATGGCTTATCAAAAGAATTCTTATCTTCGGGAACTTCTTCGATATTTTTTGAAAATATACCTTAATTACATTTTAAAAAGATACGAAATGAGTTACAAATTTGTATTGAGAAAATTCATTTTATCTATATATATAAAAATGAATGTATGTGTGTGTGTATGTGTGTTGCTGTCTGTCCTTCATGCATTACCACACCGTTTATCCGATTGCCGTGAAACTTTGAGAAGTTGTTTAGTATATTCCAGCGAAGGTTTCTGGCATAGTACGATTGCCATCAAACTTTGGAAAGTTTTTTAATACTCTCCCGCGAAGTACATTCATCCAACGATAGATGCCGCGCGTTTACATGAGCATTCGAGCACTGTGTGTTCGATCGATTTCAAATTGTGAAGACCATTTCCCCCCTCCAAAAATATCTCTATATATGCATTTATTATTTACGATATTTGTAATAATTTTTGTTTAATCACTTTATTTTAACTTTTTTTTTGCTAATTATCTATTCGCTCGAACTTCGTTAAAACCTTAACTGTATCCCGAACAACAACCGAAGTTGTAGGAGGAAATTCGCCTATTTTACCGATCTAGGATCTTCCTTTCCCAAATTTTAATATCAACTTATAATAATTTAAAAAGACAAATTACAATAAAACGGTTTATTATCCAACTATCAGAAATTTCACAACATGCCAAGGAAGAGAAGAAGGAGCAATTAAATAATCAAAATTATAAAGGATTTATAAAAATATATAAAAATGAGGAATATCGCACTTCAAACAATCTCTGTGAGTATGTGGGCTAAATTTAAAGAATCTGTGCTTCTCACATGTACAGTACAACTGTATGTGACCTGTTCACGCGTCTGAAAACCTTCTGATTTATTCTTGTACGCATCAGACGGAAAAACAAAAAATATCGTGTATCCACAAGCACTCCAATAAACAAATAAAATTGAATCGACACTTTGAAATATTTTCCCAATAAAAATGAATGATAATAATAATAATATAATAATAAGTTTCAATAAAAATGATAAAATGTAAATTTAATTTTATCATAACGAGTTTGCTTGAATTTCGTTTCTTTTGAGATCGCAGCAATGCGCGACAAATAAGCTAGTATAATTATAACTGTATTTCTAAAATAATATAACATTTAATATAATAATAATAAAATGGTATATTGTCGTGGGAAAGGAGTCACATGATAGACATATGTTGACATTAACGGTGCAGTCGTGACACCTATGTATGAACTTTTTAATCTAATTGTTATAACAGAGGATAAAATACGATCTAATTTTCACAACGAGCGTTTCTTCTATCAAAGTTGTTTACATTAATTTTTTCTCGACAACTGCGTTAAATTCGTGGATATCACATAAGTATAGGTTAAAGGGATTTTCAAATTTGTTTAAAAGCTGAAATGGAAAGGATGTAATCATGGAAATATAGGCTTTTGTGCTTTCTTAAAGTGAGTATAAAAGATATTCAGTTTCTCTTCCTTTAAACAAGTCTCTGAATGCTTCTATTGCTGCAGCAACAAATAATTTTTCTTTTGACATTTCTGATAATATCCCAGTTATCTTGCATTATTTTAATGTCAAAAAAATTTCGACAGGAAAAATATAGTTTTATTAATGTTGAGATAAAAGAATAACGAGGCAAAATAGTAGAAAGAGAATTTTAACTTTAAGAAAAAGCTGTTGATGTATTAAACAAATAATCATATCTGTACTTCAATTATATCAAAATATATATAGCACAATTAATTGATAAGTTCAATCGAAGTCATTACGGATGGAATTTTAACTAATAAAAAAATTAACTATCGATGGTAAACCTATTTTTACAAGTCATATAATAGACTTAATTTCGTATGTAATGAAAAATAGAACACCTGTATTAGCTCCTACTGGTTTTATCGAATTTTTTGACGGCAGAAACAAAATCAATAGAGTAGATAGAAAACAAAGATTTTGCAGCGTTACTGGATAAAACACTGTATCAACGAGCATCAGTCGAGGCTCCAGAAGAAATTTACCTTCTGAGACTACAGTAGAGCCTCGATTATCCGACCCAATTGGGGACTGGGGTTGGTCGGATAATTGAAAAATCGGATAACCGAATAGTATGAAAAAATCCATTATTAGTGTAGTATATTATTATATCCCATGTAATTAGTATATTAGTATATTGCTATTAATTTACTTCGCGTTGAATTTTCATCGATGTTAATTGTAACGAAAATTTTTAATATAATAATCGTCGCTATTGTATCGTTAAAAATTAGAAAATGAAGCCTCGTTTAAATACTGGCTCCCTTTCATGGTCGATCCAGTGTTGCCAGCGAAAACACGTAAAAATAATATTAAAGTAGCCAAGACATAGCCAAATATTCTAGCGCCACATCACTACCGGACATTTGAAATTTGCGGACTAGGAGGGTCGGTTAACCGAGGTGACGGTTAATTGAGGGTCGTAACTCATTTCGTATCTTTTTAAAATGCAATTAACGTATATTTTCAGAAAATATCGAAGAAGTTTCCGAAGATAATAATCTTTCTGATGAGCCAACAATGACATATTTCAGAGATAACCTACACAAAATTCTATCTTTAAATGTTGTCAAGATAATAGTTTTTATAATTTACTTTCTGAATTTATCATTTGGAATATGGGGAGCCTTAACAATAAATCATGGTATAGACGTCACTACCTTATATCCTGAAGAATCGCCGATAACCAAGTCTACCAAAATATATTATAACAGTTTTACCCGTTATTCCTTCCCTTACCAAGTAGTTATTAATACTACATTAGATTATTCAGATGTAAATGCGCAACCATCCCTAGACAAACTGATGAACAAATTTGAACGTCTTCCATATATTGCAGATTCTCGATTTACTTTATCGTGGTTAAAATATTACAAAGAATTCCAGAATCATCCTGTTGCAAAATATTCATTACGTGGTTACAACATGTCCGTAAAAGAAGATTTCTTGGATGGTCTTCACAATGTTTTTCTTAAATTTAAAGCAGCGCAGCAATTCTATAATCATATTGCTTTCAATGAAAAGACAACCTATATTTTTAGTAGCAGATTCTTTATTTTTGTCAACGATACGCTAAGTTCAGCAGCCGAAGTAAAAATTTTAAGTAATTTGTGGAAAATTGTTGACGAATTACACTTTCCTGTTCTGATTCACGAAGCATTCGCTCCTGTATACGTACAAGTAATCGTCATTAAACATACATTTAGAGATTTATTTTGGATCACGTCTGTTTTAATAATGTTACTGTTCTTGCTGTTTATACCGAACATTGTCGTTGCTGTTCTGGTAGCAATATCGGTAGCATCAACAATTGTAGAAACTCTAGGATATATGTTCCTGTGGCGTGTCAACGTGGACATTTTATCTATGATGAGTCTGATATTGTGTGTGGATTTCTGCGTGAATTATCCGGCCCATATATCTTATGCTTATGTTTGTTCTGTGTTCGAAACTCCGAGTGAAAAAATGAAGGACAGTCTCTATCGTATTGGCGATCCGATATGTCAAGGATCTTTGTCTACCTTTTAGGGATTTTATTTTTATATAGAAATGTTTACGCATTTATTACATTTGTGAAAATTGTATTTCTTATCGCTTTAGAAACTGCATTTCATGCACTGATTTTCATTCCGGTCGTTCTTTCACTCGTGTTTTCTATTTTGTCTAAATTTATAGTTAAACTACAAGATCAGGTTGAAAACAGAAATTTCTTCTAAAAATGAAATTCACTTTTAAACGTTTAAACACTTAAAATCAACTGTATTATGGCAATAGCTATTATTTTAATCGAATAAGTATTATAAACTGACTTTCATTTTATACGTTTATTGATGTTTTTATTGAAGACAATAAATGTTTAATGCAAAATATTATAAAATAATACTGAGTCAACGGAATATATTTGTAAACACTTTTTGTTTTTGTGAGTTAATGGGAAATTCAAATCTTAAATTGCAAAATATAATATTTAGATACAGATTAAATACAATAACACTACGTAACGAGAAAATATTTATTGTGACATTGACAGAATGCAAGGATGCAATTTTTCAAAATACTCAATTTATTTAATTAAAAATGTATGCTATCCATCTGAAATAAGTAGTGTCTTGCCGTGTATATTATACTTTTCCAATGTGCATCTGACGTTCATATATCCGGATCGGCTCTTCGTACTGTTTCCGTATCTGTTGCAACTTTCATCTGCCTAACAGCGTTATCTAAATTAAAAAATGACGGGCAGACAAACGACAATTTACAGGTCTATAATTTCGAAATTGCTGGCTTTCTTTTACTCTACTGGAATTGTTAAATGAATAGAAGGTAATGGTATTATTTAATAACAATGGTGACACATCTATAAAGCTTCTGGGGCTAGGTTCATTAATAATCATAATTGATGTTCGTATGACTGTGATGTTCTTAACGAAGTAGTATTTCATTCCGGTGATAAATAATTCATTTTTATTATGTCAAATATCTACATTGTAAAGTTTTAAACGTTAAATTTCAGTTTTTCTACAGCATAAATTTGATTTAATTTTTGGAGTGTTATTATATTTGATAGTCTTTATGATTAATCAATTACACATAAAAATAGAACTAAATTAACTTACAACAATTTTTTTTGTATTTTTCGATTTAATGAAGATAATATTATAGCATTGCTCGTGCAACATTGCTTTGATATATTAATTATATATATATATATATTTATTAATGACATTCAAATTAATAAACTACGTTTATTAAATACATATTGTTTGCATCTTTCATACATCGTGGCTACTTTATTCGAATTAATTATAAACTACGGTTGATATTACAAAGCAGACAAAAGTACTTATTTAAGTTATTATAATACGAATAACTTTGTTATTAATAAATCAATATATTACATATATTTGCAAATGTTTTTTGTGACAACGTTCCTAATCAATTCAACTCTAACATATAATTCAATTTCCTTTATACAATAAAACTATTCAAAAAGGTATATTTTTTGTTATTTTACAAAAAGAATAACATCTAAACTTAAAGTGAACTGCAAGAACAAATTACATACTTTAACTGTAGTGTAAATAACAATTCTCTATAAACTATTGTTCGTCATTATTCAATATTTATATGAATAAATGTAATATTGTATGCTGATATTATAACTTATAACATTTATAGTGACTGTGTGAACGAACGTTATTAAAACAAGCAATAGTTTATCCTATATTATTATATTTATCTTGTACTTGTAAATAAGCCCAGCGTTCCTTGGGTAAAAAGTATTGATACAGAAATTAATATTATTACATTACAGCCGATTTTACCCATTTTAACCGGAGAAAATTTGCTTTACCCTCTTCTGAGATTAATAAAAAAATAGATGGGGCAAAAATATGTCCTATTTCTCCAGAAACGAAAGAAATCGTAATTAATACAATACAGTAAAAGCTGAGTTTTTCAGGGTAAGACGTCTTAACCTTTTTCCCTCTCCTCCACAGGTGAGAATTTCCAACAATTCCTTTTTAGTGTGCAGTTTCACTTACGAGTCACTTAGATTTTACAGTATTTTACAGTACGAGTCACTTAGATTTTACAAATACGTGAGCCTTACACAACCCGGCACACGTGTTTGTAAAATCTAAGTGATTCGTACAATATGAAATTCATATAAAACAGAATTATAAACAGTGTTATAGGGGAGTCGACTGTATTCATAACAGTTATAACTATACTAAATAGTTATTCCTATCTCACAACATTAGATATGTGATACTACAATAGCTTTACTGATATAACCCACATCAGCCTATATAACTTGATCCATATAGACCTATCATAATGGATTTTGTTATTATATAACATTGATTTGGAGTTCAGACTTCGATTAAACTACTACAAGTATCTGGAGTTAAGAATGCTCTTGTCTTGACAAATCCTTACAAGTGTTATCTACATAGGTGAAGCGTTGATATGATATCCCTACCTTTGGTGAACCTTATAGAATTCAAGATTTACGAAGTTAATTGTGAGTTAGCATATACTAACTGTTACTTCTAGTGAATAAACTACAATAGTAAGCTGAATTAGCTCTTGGATAGCTGCAATGAACTATTAATATTTGTGTTACGTCAGAGTGTTCTTGTCCGAATCTTCCAAGTACTTCTATGTTTGTAGGAACTTCCATTTTAGTGTATGGATATTGTGCTGCCAGTAACATGTGAGACTCCTAAGAACTCTTTCTACATGAAATGACTGTATGCAGCAACTACACCTGAAGACCTGCAAAGTAACTTTTATAGTTTATTAGTGATAATTATTCTAAGCTTTATTTTGTTTAAACTACAGTATTATATCATCATATATATTTGTATGTGAAATTTATATTAGCATCTACTGCAACAATATATATTATACATTACATATTTCTGTAAATTGACTATTACTTATTATGTTTAATTTTAAGTTGTTAATCTAGCTTATTATTTATAATGCAGATATTCAATGTCATCTGTCAAACATGTAAATGTTACGGTATTAATTTACGGTATATATCTTATGTAAATGCATTGATGCACATTACTTCATATTCCTGTGTTCAACCTTAAACATGTATAAACTGGTTATGCTATTGCGGTATCAGTGATGCAATAATGTTGCATTAATAAAGAGATTGTGTGTGTGTGTGTGTGTGTGTGTGTGTGTGTGTATTCATAACATGTGCGTAATTCTGTTTATAATTTTGTTGTTTAATACAATTGTTAATATACGGATAAAAGTTATTCTATGTGACACTTTAAAGGGTCACGTGCTGATAGAATGTCTACCCTAAGTTTTCAACTTAATGTGGTAAGTTTGTTTTAAGATTTTCTCTCAGAATTTCAACACTTGGAGTGGTCATTCCCAAAACGAATTCTTCAGAAATTGTCAACACTACTCCTAGTAGTAGTTTACACAGTGATAAAATTATGAAAACAGAATTGTAATCTAGTTAGCAGTAGCATTATTGAATGTACTGACTGTGTTACATGATTTATGTTTCGTCATCACGCCAGTTACTTGTATCACCGAAGAGAATATGGAATATAATGCACTTGCCATCTGTAAGAGTAATCAATATGTTTATAGTGTAGTGATTGAACTTAAATAAATTGCTTACCCGAATTACAAAATTTTTTCGAACGTAAAAGAAGTCTGCTATAGAAACTCCCATTTTGGGTTTCCCGTATCTTTTCATGAAACAAGTTACCTGAAAATATTCAAAGCATAATTACACAATTGAAATTTTTAATTAAATAAGTACACTTCACTTGCACAAAACCTTGAACTTGAATTCAACTGACAAGACATTTGAAGAAAACCTTTGAATAGAAATGAAATTATCGTAAATTTGAAAAATAAATAGATTTGTCATTAGTTAAGAAGTTAATAATAAATGTAATAATGTTTTCTTTTATAGAATTGGTTTAATGATAATATTTCATTAGAGAAGATTGATTTATGAAACAGTTATTCGTATATACATATTTTATTTTTAGTTAATATAATTATTTTATATAAAAGGTATAACAGAATTTAAGAATTTACAATTTTTTACACTGAACGTAAAAAACATATCTGCAAATCAATTGTTCATAGTAACTAATGTTTCCTATCAATTAAACAGAAATAGGTTTAACTTTTCAGCTTCATAATTTAACATGTTTTAAACAATTTCTTTTAATAATGGGCATTAAGTACTATACCTGTAGTTCTTCAATACTACACAAAAATTAACCTGCATGCATTGACAAATTTCCTATTAAGCTAACAAGGCACAGACCTAATCGGCCGATTGCAGAGACAGAGTTTACATTAAACGACGTTTACATTGGCTCTTACTTACTTCGCTATTACTCCCCTGTTTTAGGAGTCGTTCGGCCAATCGGATTATTTCTTCGTGACGTCAGAAATGGTCGTCAGCTATATTCCGAAAGCTTAAGGCCGTCAAAANTATGAAAAATTGAGGTATATCAAAGCGAAAAGATATTCCCATTGCTGATTGATCATTTCAAAAATCTCCCAAATCTCTGTGTGCTTTTCACAGATTTCTTGTAATTCATGTTTCAGTGATGAAGAAGTTGTTTTTGTTTGTTCTAATTCTTCAGATAACTTTATAAGTCTCTTGACTACGATCATTCCGACAATTGCAAACAGAAGGACTGAACATATCTGTACTACGAATTGCAGATAAAGAAACGAAAAGTATACTGAACAAATCGTTGCTTCGAATTTACATCCATCATATTTTCTGAATGTTGGAAACATAAGCATTACTGGCACATTAGAAACAATCAAAAGTAAGGTGAATACGCCTACAAAATAGCATAATACAGGCAATTCCAATTGCATCGGCAAATTTTGTTCTCCCACGTAAGTGCTTCTCATGTAATGGAGAGAAATCTTTTTTCTTTTCAATATCGAAAATTGAACGGCGACATAGATATTCAGAATTAGAATCACAACCTGCATCACTGTCCAGTATTTATTAT